CCACATACACTCACATTCATACACTCACGCCACATACACTCACATTCATACACTCACGCCACATACACTCACATTCATTCACTCACGCCACATACACTCACACATACACTCACGCAGCTCCAGCATGGAGTCCATATCTCGTCAAAAATAAAACTAAATTGCCGAAGGTTCAGAGATTTGCCACCAGACTAGTACCCGAACTGAGGGGCCATGAGCTATGAGGAGAGACTACGGGAATTAAACCTCACGTCGCTGGAAGACAGGGGAGTTAGGGGGGGACATGATCATCACATACAAGATTTTCAAAGGTAGGGTATACATGAGTTAGGGAGGACATGATTACCACATACAAGATTCTCAAAGGATAGATCGATAGGGTAGACAAAGAGAGTCTATTTAACACAAGGGGCACACGCACTGGGGGACACAGGTAGAAATTTAGTGCCCAAATGAGCCATAAAGTCATTAGAAAAAAAATTGTGTCAGAGTAGTTAATAAATGGAATGCACTAGGAAGTGATGTGGTGGAGGCAGACTCCATACACAGTTTCAAATGTAGATATGATAGAGCCCAGTAGGCTCAGGAACCTATACACTTGTTGAGTGACGATTGAGAGGCGGAACCAAAGAGCCAGAGCTCAACCCACGCAAGCACAACTGGGTGAGTACATACACTCACGCACATACACTCACGCACTCTCACACAGTGAGTGCCTGCCACTCTCCATAGTGTATAACAAATCACTGGAAACAGGGGAACTGCCAGTAATTTGGAAGGCAGCAAATGTAGTTCCAATATACAAGAAAGGGGATAGGCAGGAGGCACTGAACTACAGGCCAGTGTCCCTAACCTGCATACCATGCAAGCTGATGGAGAAGATTGTGCGAAGAAAGCTAGTGGAGCACCTGGAGCGAAAGAACTTTGTAACACAGCATCAACATGGGTTCAGGGATGGCAAGTCCTGCCTCACAGGGCTAATTGAATTTTACGACCAGGCAACAAAAATCAGGCAAAAAAGAGAGAGGTGGGCAGACTGCATATTTTTGGATTGTCAAAAAGCCTTTGATACAGTACCACAAAAGAGGCTAGTAAAAAAGCTGGAGATGCAGGCAGGAGTGAAAGGGAAGGTACTCCGTTGGATAAGGGAGTACCTAAGTAACAGAAGACAACGAGTCACTGTGAGGGGTGAGGTCTCGGATTGGCGTGACGTCACAAGTGGAGTCCCGCAGGGGTCAGTCCTTGGACCAATACTGTTTCTGATATATGTAAATGATCTCCCACCGGGTATAGAATCGTTTCTCTCAATGTTTGCTGATGATGCAAAAATTATGAGGAGGATTGAAACTGAGGATGATAGTAGGAGGCTACAGGACGACCTAGACAGACTGAATGAATAGTCCAACAAATGGCTGTTAAAGTTTAACCCGAGTAAATGCAAAGTAGTGAAACTAGGCGGTGGAAACAGGAGGCCAGACACAAGATACAGAAAAGGAGATGAAGTACTTAATGAAACGGAAAGAGAGAAAGATCTAGGAATTGATATCACACCAAACCTGTCTCCTGAAGCCCACATAAAAAGAATTACGTCTGCGGCATATGCAAGGCTGGCTAACATCAGAACAGCTTTCAGGAACCTGTGTAAGGAATCGTTTAGAATCTTGTACACCACATACGTAAGACCAATCCTGGAGTATGCGGCCCCAGCATGGAGCCCGTACCTTGTCAAGCACAAATCGAAGCTGGAAAAAGTTCAGAGGTATGCCACTAGAGTGGTCCCAGACCTAAGAGGCATGAGTTACGAGGAAAGACTGCGGGAAATGCACCTTACGACACTGGAAGACAGAAGAGTGAGGGGAGACATGATCACGACCTACAAAATCCTCAGGGCAATTGACAGGGTAGACAAGGATAAACTATTCAACACTGGCGGTACGCGAACAAGGGGACACAGGTGGAAACTGAGTACCCAAATGGGCCACAGGGACGTTAGAAAGAACTTTTTCAGTGTCAGAGTAGTTAACAGATGGAATGCATTAGGCAGTGATGTGGTGAAGGCTGACTCCATACACGGTTTTAAATGTAGATATGATAGAGCCCAGTAGGCTCAGGAATCTGTACACCAGTTGATTGACAGTTGAGAGGCGGGACCAAAGAGCTTGCTCTTTTGTACTCTCTTTCTGTGCTTGCGGGGCTCAACCCCCGCAAGCACAATTAGGTGAGTACACATTCACTCACGCACATACTCACTTACACTCAAACACACACACGTCACAAAGAACTTTACCAGTGTCACAGCTGTCAATAACTGGAGCAGATTAGGCGTGGAAGTCGTAGAAGCTAATAAGATTGAAAGTTGTGCATGCAAATATTATAAAAGATCGAGGAAAGATCGAATCATTGCAGTAATCTAAGAACGTTCCGAAGGCGGAGCCTCGGAGCCTAGCTGAACCCCTGCAAGCACATCTAGGTGAGTACATCAAGCTGAGTACTCACAAACTATACACTTCCGCCTAGGAATTTTGTCTCCAAACAACGAAATGTATTCAACAAAAGAAAATCCCGCTTGACACAACTTGGAACTCTATGCCAAGGTGCCAACAGTCAAACAGTACGGCTGGACAGACTCTAGTACATTATCCTGATTTGCTATGAAGCTTTTGACTGTTCTTCACAAGAGATTCCTCTGCAAACTAGAAACCCCGACTCATGAAACTGCTAAAGTGAGTGAGACCTGTGAATGGGGGGACGTCGGTACCTGGGACCTCGTAGGTACTACGAGTGAATGAGTACCTCTCAGGGAAAAAGATAAGAAGGTCATAGTGAGAGGAGAGATTTTAAGATGGAGAGGGTGGAGTACCTCAGGGCTCGGTACTAGGGCCTATTCTATTATTTGATAAAGGGGGGGCCAAGGAAGAGGGGTTGTGTGTGGAGTGAGGGGGGGGGTGTGAGGGGGGAAAGGGGGTAGTGTGAGGGTGTTGGGAGGTGAGTTAAGTGCAACATGAAGGCCCCTTCATCTTCACAAATCAAATACCAAAATTACCCCATTTTATCTTAAGATATATTAAGATAAAGCAGAATGTGAAAAGTATCATATGAACGAAATTGATAATGTAGAACAATACTTTAATTTTAGTTGACAAAGAAGTTTAAAAAAGTTAACAAAATCTGGGATTATGTTTTGGTAATACTTGTTCATCCTCTGTGTGATTGGCACTACTGTTTCGGCTCCACTGACCAAGGAACTGCGATTCAAGATAACAGATGTTGCTAACACAAGCATCTCTCTCTCTCTGCCTGTCACTATCTCACTCTCTCTCTCTCTCTCTCTCTCTCTCTCTCTCTCTCTCTCTCTCTCTCTCTCTCTCTCTCTCTCTCTCTCTCTCTCTCTCTCTCTCTCTCTCTCTCTCCACTGGTATCAGTGATGGAGGCACAATATATTAATGTAAGTAGTGTTGTTGGTGTGGAGTGGAGCAGATGCGGGGCGTGTCCCTGGTGGCCGAGGGAGGGTGAGGGAGGCTGCCACTGTTGTCATTACATGAAGCCCGACAGGCAGCACTAGGCAAAGAAAATATGGCGACTGATGGATGGTCTTTCACTGTCCAGCCGGATACGATACCCGGCCCACGGACCCGGGCCACGGAGGGTGCAAGCCGGGGGCGCGGGGCAGGATGGGTGGCTTGGGGGATGAGGATGCTGGCTTGGGGGATGAGGATGCTGGCTTGGGGGATGGGGGATGCTGGCTTGGGGCAAGAGGATGCGGGCTTGAATCGGAAGTGTGTCCATGGTTTAAGTAGATGCACTTAGGAGACAAGGAAAAGGTGTGTGTAGTTACTTTTTACAATTTGTGCCTGCAGAATCGAGCTATTAGCTCTTGGACCCCGCCTTTCTAATCAATCTATTTTCTCCTCTACTCTATCAGATACATATATTTCTCTCTAGCACACGCACTCACACATCCTTAGGAAGCAGCACGTAGGAGCTGTTTAAGTCCCAGGTTACTATTTACTGCTAGGTGAACAGAAGCATCAGGGTGAAAGAAACTTTGCCTCTGTTTCCGCCTCCGCCGGGAATCGAACCCGGGTCATTAGGATTACGACCTCCCCGAGCGCTATCCACTCAACCGCGAGGCCCCGTATATGTGTATGTGTGTGTGTTTATTATTTATTCCTGCAGGATCGAGGTGTTAGCTCTTGGACCCCGGCTTTCTCACCGTCGGATGATTAATCTACTGACTCCCGGCCATTTTCCTCTGTCATATATTACATATTTCACACACACACACACACACACACGCACACACACACGCACACACACGCACACACACGCACACACACGCACACACGCGCACACACACGCACACACACGCACACACACGCACACACACGCACACACACGCGCACACACACACACACACACACACACACACACGCGCACACACGCGCACACACGCGCACACACGCACACACACGCACACACACGCACACACACACACAAATCCTCGCAGTTGAACGGACAGCGCTCTAGAGTCGTAGTCCTAAGAGCTCGGGGTTCGATTCCCGGTCGAGGCAGAAACAAATAATCAGAGTATCATTCACCTGATGCCCCTGTTCACCTAGCACAGTAAATAGGTACCTGGTACTTAAACAGCTCCTACGGGCTGCTTCCTAAGAGAGAAATATATACTAGATTATTGGTTTCCAAACTGGGGGCCACGCCCCCCCGGGTAATTAGAAAAAGCCTAAGCTACTCTCTCCCTCGTGAGACGTATTTACTCGTCTCAATACACGTACTTAACGTAGTGGTGGCTGCCGGAGAGGTCGTGGAGGCCCCCAAGCTGGGTGTTCCCGCCGGGGCCGCCGTGGGAGGGCTTGCCGACCGTCTTCACGTTCTCCTTCCTCCGACGCGGCTGGTACTTGTAGTCCGGGTACTCCTGCTTGTGCTTCCGGCGCAGGTGGTCTGCTCGCTCGATGAACGGCCGCTTCTGCTCCTCCGTCATGCCCCTGAGGAAGAGGAGGTGGTGGGAGGTTAGCTGGGAGGGTTGGCGAGATGGGAGTGTCAGTAAGGGAAGGTGGGAGAAGGGGTTGGGCGGATTAGGAACAGGGAGAGAATTGGAGGGGAAACTGCAGGATGCGGGTGAGTGAGGCAGATGTGAGGACGATATCGCGAGGTGTAAGGTAGGGGGAGATGGGGGAAAGGGTAGGGAAATGGGGGAGAAGGGGGGGGGGGGATAGAGTAGGGTAAGAAAGTAGGTTAAAAGAGTGGGGGAAGGGTAGGGTGAAAGGAATGAACGGAGGAGGAGGAGGAGGAGAGATGCCAGGCTGGGCAACCCGTGGACGGAGAGAGAGAGAGAGAATTAGGGAACGAATATAAGAGGTGATAACAAGACACTTGACTTTGCAAGGTCCCTCAACACACACACACACACGCACACGCTCCCTCCTAAGATTAGCTACTTCATCTGAATGCTCTTTTGCCTTCCTTATGAAACAACAGCATCCCAACGAACACAACCCATCTCAAGACAGCTTAGGCACACAATGCAAACTTATGTTCAATCACTGCAGCTAAACTTTTGAGACAAATTACGAGCAACGCACTTGCAAATTGCATCTGATATTGTACAGTGGAGTGAGCTCATGTGAAAACACACCTCCCCGCCCCTCTCCCCCTCCTCCCCCCCCCCCTGTAACTATGTGAGCTGTCTGCAGATTAGCGCGGCTTCACTCTCTCATATCTCGCACTCAGCAGCTTATCTAGGATTCCCAGAATGCAGTTTTAGAATCCATCGTTGGGTTTGTCTGATCTTCACAGTCGTGAGTGTACCAAACTCGCCTGCTGTCCAAAGAGCATATTTAAGAGTTGTTTAAGGCGATCCCAGCAGTTAAAAGTGCTTAACTGATGATTCAACACGGGCATTATAGTATTGTCACGATTTGTATAACGTCTTCAAGAGAAAACTAGATAATTTTCTTCAAGAAGTGCCGGATTAACCGGGCTGTGGTGGGTATGTGAGCCTGCGGGCCACTCCAAGCAACAGCCTGTTGGACCAAGCTCTCACAAGTCAAGCCCGAGGCCGGGCTTGGGGAGTAGAAGAACTCCCAGAACCCCATCAAGCAGGTATCCAGCAGGTATCCAGCAGGTATCAGGGGGTGCAGTAATAAACACGAAGCTGCCTGCACTGTTGGCAGGTCCCGCGAGCAGGTTAGTACAGCTGGCGAGGCTGCTGGATGGTACCGCTCCCCACGTCTCGCTGATAACAACAGCTGCCCTCGTGGATTGCATAGTTGCCTGTGGTTTATCAGTTGATGATATTGAGTGTCACTGTAACGGTTGCAAGCAATTTCGTCTTTGTTTGGAGTGATCTTGCTTCACTTTAGCCATATTTGGATTAGTGGAAATTATCTTGATTTTTTCGTTTTCTTCTTTATCCGCTGTTTTCCTGTTTTGCAGTTTCAAGTTTTTGTAATATTAGAAGTTTTGAACCGTAGCTTCCAGTGTTTTTTTCACGTTATGTATCTCTCGTCTCTGTTCCAGGGAATATATTTTGAAGGTTTTAAGGCGATTCCAGGAGTTTAAATACTTGAGCGAGTCCACGCTACCAATAAAGGATCTCTGCATCTTCTATGTTGACCAGACCACACACTAGAAGGTGAAGGGACGACGACGTTTCGGTCCGTCATTGGACCATTCTCAAGATCGACTTGAGAATGGTCCAGGACGGACCGAAACGTCGTCGTCTCTTCACCTTCTAGTGTGTGGTCTGGTCAACATACTTCAGCCACGTTATTGTGACTCATCGCCTGCATCTGCATCTTCTAGCTCGGATGATTCGCCTGCCTTGACAGGGTATGTGAACACTGGAGTGAACTCCAGTGCTCCAAAGAGTGTTATCGTTTATGTGGTATTATCCCATCCTATATGGGACGGATGGATGGGTATATTATCCCTTAAGAGGTATTATTATCACTATCTCCCATTTTATGCTGCATTCTATAATCCTTGTGACATTTGTGTTATCTCCAAAAAGAGTTAACTTCAAGAATCCGGCAAATAATGAGAGCCCTCTGTCCGCTTTCCACACTTACCGTCCAGAAAGTGCTGCGTCACAAGACTAATGCCTCTGTATATCGTTTACTTTTGAAAAAAAAAAGGTAAATGAGGTTCACGTTTCCCGCCAAAACAGAGGACAGTCGTGGCTTCCCCGCCGCGCGCGCCAACCCGCTCGACACGTCATGGCGGGAAGCAACCAGCAGATGATTGGCTGATATTGGAAACCGTCGCTGTGGTGAGGCTATTTGCTGACTTGGGAATAGTATTGGCGATTTCTAAATTGCGGTTTATTAACAATTTCAAAATAGCAAAATAATCGTATTTGCATTATTTTCTATAATTTCTTATTATTTCTAAAGGCTACGATTCAGTTATAAATTCAGACAAAACTATGCAAATATATAAGTTAAGAGCGAATATGGAGGAGGCATATGTATATTTGTTTATATACAAAAAATATAAAGTGTTATGTATGTATTGTATTATGTATTATGTATGTATTGTATTATGTATTATGTATGTATTATGTATGTATGTATTATGTATTGCTGTTTGACGTTCTTGAAGTAGTCGTCCGTGTATGAATGTTATCAGTTAATATAGGAATGTCGTTAGTATAATTTGCCAGTTTTTCAGGATTGTCTTCTAGTATAGCTGTTTTAGGTATGATGCAAAACATACCTGGCATTAAGTATGATGAAATATACTAGATTTGTGACATGAGGTATCCAAGGTTTGTGTTATGTTAAAGTACACGAGGGATTAAGTGTGATGAAGTACACTTTTGTTGTAAGTGTGGTGAAAGACACTAGGGAGGGGAGGGGGAGGGGGAGTTTAGGTCGAGGAAGCCTAGCTGGAGCTAGGAATGTGAGGCACACGTAGCTTGATGAGAAAAATGTGTTGCAGATCCCGACACGGTTTATAGTTACAGGGTAAGGATGTGTGTGTACTCAGCTATTTGTGCTTGCGGGGGTTGAGCTTTGGCTCTTTGGTCCCGCCTCTCAACTGAAAGGTATAGTGTGTGTGTGTGTGTGTGTGTGTAAAATGGGCAATGAAAACCAAAAAGGAAAAAAGTAATTACAAGAAAGCAATGTCCAGTCAATCATCAGTGCGCAAAATTAATAAAATCAAGTCAAAAACTTTAGTTATAAATGGTAGTACATCTATAATTGGAAAAGTGTACATAAAGAGTACATGAGTCACAATAAGAGCCAGACGTAGACTCTTATCAGAATGAACAAATCTTATCAGAATGAACAGGCTATAACACGTTAATTTCTACCTCATGGCCATGATCGGCGTTCAATCCCCGACTGTCCAAGTGATTTTGCACCATTCCTCCCCTTTCCTCTCACTCCCCCCCCCCCCTCCCCGTCCCATCCCAAATCCTGATCCCTTCCATGTGCTACATAGTCGTACTGGCTTGGCGCTTTCCCTGATAATTCTCATCCCTCCTTATGACACTAGTAATAGACTAACAGTCGCTCATATCCGGCCAGGGTGGCAATTACGCATGCGCTTACGAAACCTGTTCATCTTTCCTAAATCATGACGGCTTTCTTTACAAATTATTCAACCCGTCCTCGACTCAAGTCCATTACATCCAGCGGTCGACCCCATTGATGTATTCATACATTTTTAACATGCTGTTCATTCGAAACGGAAATTTTCTCAAATATAAATTAATATAATAATATATTAGCATATTGTGCGTATATTGGCATAGGTTAGGTTAGGTGTTTAGGTTCTGTTATTTGTATTTGTAGTACGTGGGTGAAGCATTTATAGCGTTGTGAGGACAAGTGCGTTGTGAGGACAAGTGCTTCACTGACGAACAAAATTCGTCAGTGAAGCACTTGTTCCGGAAGTGTTCGAACGAAATCAGTTGTGAGTCGTGCAGCCCGTCCTCCAAACAAAGATCCAAAAGTGATTCCATGCACCCGCCAAACCCCCTGTTTATGAATGAAAAGCGGTTTACACACGACTCACAACTGCTGACGTTCGAATATATCCGGAACAAGTGTTTCACTGACGAATTTTGTTCGAATCACAACGCTATAAATGCTTCACCCACGTACTACAAATACAAATAATCGCCAACAGAACCTAAACACCTAACCTAACCTATGCCTATATATGCACAATATGCTAATATATTATAATATTAATTTATACTTGAGAAAATTCCCGTTTTGAATGAACAGCATGTTAAAATTTATGAATGCGTCTGTGGGGTCGACCGCTGGATGTAATGGACTTGAGTCGAGGACGGGTTGGTTTATGACAATAACAATCTTGGGTTGTGAAGCTTCGAAGCTCGTGAAGTGGATAATACTCGTAAACCCCCGCCAGGATTTAAGGATTTAAGGAAAGATGTACAGGTTTCGCAGCTGGTTGCGTTAATCCTTGATGAATCCAGGTACATAATTTAGTGGTCAAGAGACTGGGCCGCGGGGACGTTTGATCCTCGGGAATCATTCCCCCCCCCCCCGCCAAGAAAGGATCGAGGCGAGACCGCGTTCCGTTGTCTACATTAGCGCATGCGCAGTGTGGGGTCGGCAGCTGATGTATCGGTGACGTCACGGCCCCGGTGTACCCCAGGGCGCTGGCCTAAGATTAATTAAGGATTCGATGGGCGGGCGGCCCGCGGTGGTCACTGCTGACGGAGGCGAAGGTCAAACCAAAAATCATAAAGGTCCCTCTTGGCCTCGTGAGACGGAGAGCCGACGTCGCGGGAGAGCCAGGTTGGTTGGATGTCTTGATTGATGATTGATCAAGATTAAGCCACCCCTAGAGGTGGCACGGGCAGGAATAGCCCCGTAAGTTGAATGTCTGTTTGGGACTGCGGGTGACATCTGTATTAGCTTTTTTTTTTTTTTTTTTTTTTACTGTGGGAATTCGAATATTGTTCGCTTGGCCCTCGGTATTGCAGTCTTAAGGCCTATACACG